GTTTAACGGCCGCGCAGCGCGCGCTGCGGCCGCGTTGGCCCCGCGGCCCGCGCTGGGCCCGTCCCGCCGCACCGGGCTGCGCTGGGGAGGGAAACACGGGGCGGCGGGAGGGAGCCGGCCCCGGCCGCCCTCATCTTCCATCTCCCCCTCGCGCCTGCAGCCTTCGCTGGCGGCAGCGGCTGCTGTCCCCGCCGCACGGAACCTCGGAAGCGGCTGCCCGCGCCCGGCCCGAGCCCGCGACACCCCGTCCCCGCGCTCTGCCATGGGCCCGGGGCCGTGAGGCCGGGCGCGACGGCGCGGCCGCCATGGCGGAGCCGCACAGGGTGCCCTTCACCACCCTGCACGGCCCGCTCGGCCCCGGCGCCCTCAAGAAGCCGCGCAGGGAGGACGCGGAGCCGCCCGCCGAGGCCGAGCCGCCCGCCGCCGCCGTCCGCATCACGCTCACGCTCTTCGAGCCCGACCACAAGCGCTGCCCCGAGTTCTTCTACCCCGACCTGCTGAGGAGCAGCCGAGGCAAAGCCAAGGGCAGCTCCTCGGGAGACAAGGTGAGCGGCCTCCTGCAGCCCGGCATGGGTTTTGCCTCGAAATCCGCGGGATTTCTGCGCTATTACTTCTTAAATAGCGCCGAGAGACGGTGACACGTTACCTGTGAGCCACCGAGGTGTGAAGTGAGAGTCCGTGATCAAAGGCCAGGCTGGTGGGAGAGCTGGCGTTGGCACCCAGGGTGGCCGCGGGCGCCCTTGCTGCCAGGCCAGGCTCTCCTGCCACTTTCCCTGCAAGCTTCACATGCAGGGGGTGATGTATTGCTGGCAGAGTTTGGCACGTGTTGTCAAAGTAAAGCCAAAGACATGCTGCTTCGGTTTGCAGCTGCCTCATCTGAAGTGTTTCTTTGCATCTGCCTTGCTAGCAAGTACAAACACCACCAGACAGTATCGAGAGAGAGACCTCTGCGTTCATTCTGCATCAGTGTCTGTATCTTTTGGGGGAGCTCTCCCTACCACATGAAAGGATTCCCACCTTGGGGCTTGTTATCTGTCCTCTTTGATGCATATGATGCTGTCAGGTGTTGTCTGACAATTTTGCTTGCCAGTTGAAAGAAATTTTCAGGATACGATGCAGTGTCAATTTATGCAGCATCTGAGTTTTGTATTAAGTTTTTTGTTTGTCTTTCCCCTGGTGAAAATAAGTATCTTGAATAGTGCTTTTTTTTCTCACACTGGGACATGGAAGAGCTCTGGTTTCCTGGTCATTTTTCCTGCTGCTCTTTAGAGCAGTTTTACCATCGGTTGACAGCCTCATGTTGCCCTTTTGAGCGAGCCGAGAGCAGCAGAGACAGCTAAACTAGTTGAGAGAGCAGCCCCAAATCCTTGAGAATGTGGAGAGGGAATAAATGCTTGAGTTGTGGCAGAAACGATAGGCAGTAAAGTCCAGGTAAGAGCAAGTTCTTCTGACTTGGAGCTGCCAGAGAGCACTCGTGTGAGGCGAAGAGGAGAGGGAAGTCTTGTGGCACCCAGATTTGCTCATCATGCTCTTGAACAGCAGTTATAAGGGGAAGGCCTTAAGTGGAACCTGGAGTCTGATAACAGGGCACTATCTCACCATCAGTGGTTCCCTTCTATGAGAGCGTGGCTGCAGTTAAGGGAGTATTTCACGTTACACCTGTGTGTTTTATCTCTGTCTCCAAGAAGCTCTTCCCTTTCTTCATTTGCAACCTTTTCTGCATGCTTGTTTGTGGCTGCCTTATTCTGAGAATAACATCACTCTCAAAATACCATGTGGAGGGGCTGAGGTTCTGCCTGGCTGTTCTAGCCAGGGATTGAATGTGTGTGGAAGAGGTTTTTGTGGCGCTGCGACAGGACTGATTCTGATGGTTTTGTCTCTGTTTCTCCATAGAGGAAAGAGCCTGCTGATCCCTTGAATGATGAAGAAAAGGAAAGGCATAAAGTGGAGGCTCTTGCTAGGAAGTTTGAAGAAAAATATGTATGTTTTTCTTCTTTATATTTTGTTGTTGCTTAGAATGAATAATGATGCTTAGCTCTCAAACAGAAGTACTTGACTAGAAGTTAAAGGTCACGAGCTCTTATGTTTCTATTCTCTTGCAATCTCTTTTTCTTGGCTGGAAGGTGCTGTTTTTTGTGTTCTCTTTTAGTCTCAGGGCTGTTGTATACTAAAATAGCCCAGATACTCTCTTAAATCACATAGCAATCTGATTAAAGTGAATTTCAATCTTGCTTGTAGTAGCAAATGGCATTAATGTAATGAATTTAATATATACAATTTAGTCTTTTAAGTGAAAAGAAATTTCTATCACTTGCAGTTGTGGCACAATATAATCTCTTAAGTGTCTAACGTGGTGCTCTGGTAACTCTACTGCCCTTAAAACAGTGCTGAGCTTGCTAGCATGAGAGAAGCTTGTCCAATTTCTTACCTTTTTCCTTGTTGTTCTTTTTCTTATTTTACTTCCATAGACGGCAACATCACTATGTTTTATTTTCTACAACTGTACTTTGGATCTGTGAATTGTTGCGTTGTCTTGCAATAGAAATTGGACCCATTTGATATCTAAATACAATGTGTATGTTTGCTGCTCCCCGTTTGCACTGCCTTCCTGGCACTCATGGAAGGACAGTCCATCTCTGCCTAGCAGAAAGTTTTAGGAGTTGCAGACCTGATTCAACATAAAGTTTGTGAACATAAAGCTAAACTGTAAAAATATTTTGTTAGGAAGACGTTTTGTCTCACGTGTCTGCACTGTTTTGGTTCCATATGACAAGGGCTGAAACTGGATTTACTGTATCCTCAGATTACAGTATGAAATGAGTTAACACTTATTAGTTCTGCTGCTTGGAAAGAGAACTCATATTCCTGCCTGTGCTGCAGGGAGTGTGTCCTGTATCAGGGCTGTTCCTGTGATAATTAGAAATGAAAGATGAGCAATCATCAATCTTTTATTGCTTAGGGTGGCAAGAGACGTAGAAAGGACCGTATTCAGGACTTGATTGATATGGGGTATGGATACGACGAATCTGACTCCTTCATTGATAATTCTGAAGCAGTGAGTACTTGGGCAGGTGCAAGGGTGGTTCAACACAGGTGCCTGGGGGGGCTCGATTGGCCCCTGGGGAGAACATTAATTCACTGCAAGCAAGGAAGGTGCCAGGGCTGGGTAATGAGAAGTCCTGGGGCAGGTGTGTGGCAGAGAAATGCTAGTTAGCACATGTGTCCACAGCCAAGTCTGTTTTTGGGAGGTGCAAGTCCCATTCCCTTCTCCAAATATATCTCAAATACAGAGTAAAATAACAAAATATACAATGTCAATAGATTGTCGTCCCCCCCCCCCCCTTTTTTTTTTAATTACCAGTATGATGAGCTTGTTCCAGCTTCTCTAAATACAAAGTATGGAGGGTTTTACATCAACTCAGGAACACTGCAGTTTCGGCAAGCATCTGATGATGAAGATGACTACATTAAAGAGAAGAAGAAGAAAGCTCCCAAGGTCAGTGAGCCAGCTTTCTAGGTGCATTCCCTGGATTAGAGCTTGGTGGGTTTGCTGCATGGGAAGAGAGGGATCTGTGAATTGGTATGGATGGAATAAAGAGGGGGAATGCAGAGTCTTTATTTCTAAATGAGTTTTTCAAAACCCATTTTATCCCCATATGTGGTAGTAAAATGAAGCTTGTTTGGCACATGTGAGTCTATAGATGGTTTTTCCCTTGTCCCTTGAGTAGAAATGAGGGCATCCACTTGTCACCCTGAAGAATTGTTTTGCGTTAGCAAGAAGTAACAAAGGGTTATTCTGTTTCTCATCTGAGGTATGTTGGAGAGGGAAGAGTGTTGGGAAGCTACCATTTCTGTTCTGTGGTAATACACCTCATAAAGCTGAGGTTCATAAAGCTCAAGTGACATGATTAAAACAGGAGACAGTAAGAGCATGTAGTGTCCTTTTACTGATAGGATCTTCTCTAGTGTAAAAGCTGGATGTACTGGTGAAGAGTTGAAGGCTCTATGTGCCAGATCTATGGTGATACGTGTATGCAGTTTGGGTTAATATTCCTGTTAGGGAATGACTCTTCTCAGGTAATTGGTGAAGGGCCCCCGGTGGCTCTGGGGGTGCTGCTCCAATTGCAAGATTGGGGGACAGTTTGATTCTGACCTGCTTTTAATTCCCTCCAGAAGCGGAAGTTGAAAGATGGAGGTGAAAAAATGAAGAAGAAGAAGAAAGATGATTCCTATGACAAGGAAAAGAAATCAAAGAAGTCCAAGTTCGCAAAGGCCGGGTAAGGAGGATTAGGGGGAGGCTTGCTGCCCATGTTCTTGCTTCAAGGCATTTGTTATGCTGCAATAGCAGGTGTTGGAGTGGGAGGTTGCTTTGGTGTGTGCTGCATAAGCCCCAACAAATAAATTGTCAGTGCTTCAAGGTGAAAAAACAAAGGCTCACGATGTGGAAAAGAGCACAACTCCCCAGCAAGACTGCCAGAGCAAGGAAGGATGCAGGTGCCCCAAATCCTTTTATTTCTTGCATTCCTGTTTAGACAGTAAGGGTGGAAATAGCCATAGGACAGTGTTAAGAGAGGGAGCTTCCTGGGAAGAAATTAGGGAGGGAAAGGCAGGCAGGAAGTTTTGGGCTAGCGGGGAGAAGGCTCTGGGCATCATGGGCAGAAAGGAAAGTTGTGTGTCCCTGCCATCCCTCACCAATACTTTGTGCTCCTGCCCAAAATGGTTCTTGGATGAATGCTCAACTTCTCTCCTTTTGTGCCATAATTAAGTGGTTATTCTTGTCTTTTCCATTGCTCCATACTTTGGTCTACTTTTCATGTATCTGGGCCACAGTTTCATGCGTATCCTCAAGTTTTGCTTGTTTCTGACAGTGGTAACGTTTCTCTGGTAAAGCAATGTATGTTTGAGGGCAGTTATGTTAAATATTATAAATCTTTCCGTTTGCCGGCTATTGTTTCACAGGCAGCAGTTATTAAATCTGGCATAGGAGTTACAAGACCAATGCATTTTTTAAAGCCTGATGGATTACAGAGAAGGAAATTCTTAAGTATGTTTGAGACTGAATGGAAGAATGCTTGATACATAAGTTGCTAAAAAGGGAGACATTAGTAAATGAATGAAAACACTGTGTCATGTGAGACAAGGGTACTTTAGCTAAGTCCTTACCTCTTAGCTGTGGCCTTGAGAGGCTGTAGATTTTTTTTTCTGGTGTAATTTGGTAAGAGTTAATGTTTTCCAGAAGGTTGGTGCGTATGGCTAAAGTGAAATGAGAATCTTTTCTCCTTGATCCTGTTTTATTTCTTTCTCAGTTCTCTTTCTTCCTCCATTCTTTGTTTACAGCTTTACAGCATTAAATGCGAGTAAGGAGAAGAAGAAAAAGAAATACTCGGGAGCTCTTAGTGTCAAGGAGATGCTAAAGAAGTTTCAGAAGGAGAAGGAAGCTCAGAAGAAAAGGGATGAAGAGCCGAAGGTGTCTCCTTCAGCAGCAGAAGCTCCAGCCCCACGGGAGGTGGAGACGATGGCTGACCCGTTGCTCTCGCTCTTTGGGCAGGCCAGTGACAATGACCTGCTTCAGGCAGCTACTGCTATGGACTCATTAACTGATCTCGACTTGGAGAGGCTCCTCAGCGAATCCCCGGAGGGGAGTCCCTTTGATGAGGTGGAGGATGGCAGCGATCCTCTTGGGGTGGGCTTAGAGCAGGACTTGAAGCAGCCGCCCTCCCTCCCGGAAGGACTGCCAGCCCCTCTGGAGAAGCGTATCAAGGAGCTCACTCAGGTACGACCCTTGGCTGGGAGGCAGCAGGACAGGGTGGTTCCCGGAGCAGGAAAAGCTTTGCTGGGAGCACTGAGGAGCAGAGTTTTCTATGATCCTGTTTTATGTAATGATCAAATCACTTTCTTGAATCCTCTGATGTCCCAGTGGCAAAGTGCTGGCTCTTGGTCTTGCTGTCTGGTGAACGTGATAATCCTGAGTTCAACTGTCAATATGGTTCCTTTACCTCTCTTGGCAAAGTATGGACCTGATGCAATGGGTGGTTTCCCTATCAATTTGGGGTGACGGAACTTAAAATATGCACTAGGGAGGTAGAGGTCCAAGTTTCACTGTAGTTACTTTGATGTGTTGATGTGTTACAGTGATCAGGAAAGCATCTATGAAGAAGCACAGCATTCTGTGTGTGAAATAAGTATGTGCTCCTGAAGAGGGTTACTTGTTCCACACGTGAAAATGTGGGAAGAGCCCTATAGACTGGGCTTAAGGTCTTGTTGGAGCTGATTCCTATTTCATGGATGGAGACCTCTAGTGAAGCATGGATACAATTTGACAGCACCCAAGTGGAACTAAGCTGCTGGCAATTGAGGTCCCTTCCCATCTTTAATATCTCAGTATTCTGGTTCTGCTTTAGGAGTGGGATATATTAATTTCTAGACAGAAAGACTTCCCACTTGCAACTCCTCCTGCAACTGGACTTCTGTGAGATTTGCCCATCTCCTCCAAAAGTCTGTGAGCCGCTTTGGGAGCTGCTGTTGTGGAGGAATGGGAGTTAGGTGCTTGGCAAGGAGCCCTCTCCTGGCATATGAGAGAAGTACATGCTCAGATTTGCTATGGGGTGTCTCTGATGTCACCATCCGCCTGTCAACAGATGCTGGGATGTTTTGGCCCTGCTCCTAGTGTTGCATTTTAGCATTGATTTTTTAAGCCCTGATATACACCTCTGCACTGGACACAGTATCCTGCCTTCTGGGGTAGGAGGTCATCCTGGAGCTCTTGTTACTTAAGCATTTGTTATTTAATAACTCCTGTTACTAAAGATAAGCTTCTATTAAAGATAACTGTATCCTGCTGAGAATGTGTATAGTGGTGAGCAGATGGCAGAGAAGCAGGAATTGAAGTATTGCCACAGCTAAATGTGTCTGCTGAAAGGAATGCTGTTCATACCGCTAATGGGTAGCGCCAAAAAAGCTGCCTCTGAACTATATTTGAGGTAGAGCTGAGTGTTACAGAGGCACCCTTGATATCACATTAATCATTAAACTGCTGCTGGGTAGTGTAATAGCGGATTACCCCATGATATTCCTGATCAGATTTTCCTGCTGCTGTTTCTTGTTGCTGGATGTTCTATATTAGGATAACAAATTGGGTAGAAAAAGGCAAGGTTCAACATACTGACCCCCCCCCCCCCCCCCCGGGGTCAGCTGGGATATTGGGGTTCATGAGCTCCACTGCAGATGGGAATGGAGCCAAACTTCTGTGTGAGTACCAGGTACCTTCCATCACAGCAGGTAGGAGAATCCCATGGGTTAAATGGAGCCCGAGGAATTTCCTTTTGCACTTGAATGGACTTTTCTTTCATGGGTGTGATTTTTTTTGGACAGAATTGTGTGTGCTGCAGTCATAGTTTAGGAAACTTCCCAAATGGATTTTTTCAGTTTCTATGAAGTTGATAGTAAATAACGTCCCCTGTGGCTGCTCTTTCTGCTGCTTTCTTAGCTTAGTATCTAGATTGTCTGGAAAGCCTGGTGAGAAGTATCCCTGGCCCTCATTAAACAAGACTGGGATGATCTTTCCTGTTCCAGGGGCAAGCTCTGAGCGTACATTACTCAATATAACAGCTCTAGTGTGAAATGAAATCTCTGTCCTAGAACTGTCCTTTCTTCCCTTGGGAATTAGGCCAAAAAGCCGTCTCCTTTGCCCCAGGAAATGGAGTGTGTCTGGACAGGAGAATCCAGAATCTGAGGGGCTTGTGGGCAGGTCACCCTCTCAGCAGTTCAAGTGGCTGTGTTGGACTTTGAGGGAGCTGTAAGAGGCAAAGGAAATAGGCAAGGCAGGGTTGTAGTTTGCAGTTCAGTTTGGCCTCTTTCTGCCAGTCTCTTTGTTTATCAGATGTCTTTCCTCCTCCTGCTCTTGAGGCTTTCCACAGAGTGGGGAATTCCAGGTATCTTCCTTTATGTTTGATGATAATATTGGGTGGAACAGAAGGAGATGGGTTTGCAGCTGCTGCCACGGGAGTGGCTCTGGTTTGATGCTGCTCCTCTGGCCTAAAAGCAGCGAGAAACTTTAAAGGAGGAGAATAATTAGAAACCTTTCAGCTTGGTGGTATTTGACATGGTTACGGGGGACTAATTTAGACGCTTCTGAGCATTGGTGCCTTTTTCATTCCCATGTGTGTGATGCTGGTGCCTAGACTGTACCTTAGCAACATAAATCTGGCCTCCTTTGCTCCGCTTTGTTTTCCCTCCTCTTCCAGGTATGCAGCACCCAGTACCACTACTCTAGTGGCAGATCTGCTGTCTGCTAAATAATCCTGCTTATTTAGGGCTTCATTTTGTCATTCATTCAGCTGCAGTTTAAAAAATCCCCTGATCTCTGCTACTCAAAAGCCCTTCTCCTTTAAATAGGTGCCCTGCCTTTGAAAAGAGTGGCAGGAACAGAGGACTAGAGCAGGATGAAGCCTGATGACAAGGGCTGCAGGGCACTAGGGACTTCATCTGTCATTCATTGCAGTCAAACACAAGTGAGAAGCTGATAAATTCATACTGGGACACACATCAAGCAGGGCTTGAGCTAGTGTCCCAGTGTCTCTTCTGCTGCTGAAGAGGTGGTTTCCTTCAGTGAGCCGAGCCATCCTTGCACAGCTGGCTGTCAGTTTGGTGTCTGAATTGGCAGGTGACAGTGTGGACAGTCTTGTCCATCTTCTGGAACAGCTTCTGGTGAGCTCTGAGCTCTGGGGACTGCAGCATTTGGCCCACTTGCAGCTCATTGGGGTGAAATTGTGCCTTGTTTTACAGTGCCTTTATTTTCCAGGCTGCCAGGGCTGCAGAAGGAGAAGGAAAGCAGAGATTCTTCACTCAGGACATCAACAACATCATACTGGAGTAAGTGTCACCAGGGAAGAGAAGTGGGCCCAAGGTGGGGAAAAAAGAATGTCATACAGAGCATTATTTTGTGGATAAATTCAGCAACATGTTTAGCAGAAATTGTGTGAATCTGCCCTTGCAGTTCCTCAGCATAGAACATATCTAGAAAAAACATGCGTGAGTCCTAGAAATGTCTTTCTCTTGAAATGTGAAGTATACTTGAGGTAGGAGAAAGTTAAGGGGAGGCCTCCAGGCCTTCTGTTTTCAAGATAACTCTTAATACTGTATGCTTAAATTTGGTCATTTGACCTGTGACCATAATTTGATACAAAAACAGTAAATCTTTTCGTGCCAGACATGTCAGGCACACTCTTTGCTATTTAAGGTAAATGTACATATGATATTCCGTCAGGAGGAGGAGGCTGTTGTGTTCATTTCCACACTTGTTACTGATTAGCAGTGTAAGCTGGAGGAACTCCATTATTCCTGTGTATTTTTGAGTCCCCCATCTACAGAATGCCTCATGCAGCTGTTGAAAATGGCTTCATTCTTCTTCAAGTGCTTGGAGAAGGCTGATAAATGCGTGCAGCTTTGTGATCATCTTAGAGTAATGCTTACACAGAGGCTTTAATTTTATTAAGGTTTATCAAGGCACTTGAAGGGAACTGCTGAAGGGAAGTTTGAGAGTTTGTTTCCCACACCTTTCAAGTGTTGATTATTGCTTTTTAACATTTCAGCACTGACTGCGCAGACAGTCCAGCCCCAATCTTTTTTAAGCTACTGTAACTTTAACCACTTTCGGGAGCGTTTTAAATGGATCTATGTGAGTTTGTGTTAGGATGAGTTAGGGGTGCTTACAAGTGTATTGCCACTGAGATGTGAGTTTTGAAAAACTCTGTAGACAGGTTTGACACACCCTAATCACTGTAATCTGCTGGGATCTGCAATCCACATTGGGGCGTGAATTTAGGCCAAAGAGCTAACATTTTATTCTGTTTTATCCTGACATAAACTGCAGTAGCATATGACATAAGCAGTGTATATTCTCTCATGTCATCATCTGACTCTTGCACCTCAGCTGCCAGGAAAAAAAAATGCAAATAAATGAGACTGCTTAACTATTTTTTGTGCTTTTCACAGCACTACGACACCAGAATGAAAGGCACAGATTGGAGAAAGGACTTGGGTCCATTGGTTCTGAAATCTCCTGATTTGTTTAATTTGACTTGTGCTTTCTCCTCCTCCCAGCGCCCAGCTCCCTTGGTGTGAATTGCATTTCTCTTGCCTAGAGAATCCGTGTTGGCTCCTCAGTCAACGTCCTGTCTCTCTTCTTCCTCAGCATAGAGCTGCAGACCCGGGAGCTGAACAGCCAGATCCGCTCAGGGGTGTACGCCCATCTGGCTGCCTTCTTCCCCTGCAGTAAAGACACTCTGGTCAAACGTGCCCGTAAGCTTTATCTCTATGAGCAGGTGAGTGAATTTGGCAGCAGAGCCCCATCTTTTTTTATTGTTTCCTCTGATCTCCAGAGCATGATTGTTCTCCATGTTAGCCACTGTTATTCTCCACCGTGCATGATTCAGCCACCCCAGTGCTGTGCGTTCAGGACTGACAAAGTCTCTGACCTGCCAGATCTGGGGTCTCCTGCCTGGAATGTGCTATGTGGAAACTAGTTCTTTCTGTGATACACTCTAGGGTGGCCGATTGAAGGAGCCTCTACAGAAGCTAAAAGATGCCATTGGTAGGACCATGCCAGAGCAGATGGCTAAGTACCAGGAGGAATGCCAAGCCCATACTCGGGCCAAGTTTGCCAAGTAAGCTCATCATTTGCTTATTATGGGCCTATAGCTCCTCTTAGCAAGTCTCATGTGGGCTGTAGCCCACTCTCATGCAGTTTCCATCCTATTTCTGACCTGTACTTGAGAACTGATGACAGGCATTAATTGTCCTAATTAAGCTGTGTGTGTATTGTACTGTCTGTAGTGATTCCAACTACTGCAGCACTGATGGGATCAGAAGTTGGCTGGAGTGTCTTTTTCTGCTCGAACCGTAATTAGGACATCAGTCAGGCTGGATCAGTCCTGTGATTTCTCTTGTGTATTGCCAGATTTGCAATGGGAGCCAGTACTAGGGGCAAGAAATTCCTTAATATTGAACACTGAGATCAGCTTGCACACCAGAGCAAGAGATTTGAGCCTGTCTTCCAAACCATGTGTTATCTTCAATTACTGAGCCCTCTGAACAGTCTTATATTTTACCCTGTCCTTGAATCCACCTCAGTGATAGTGGCATATTTTCAGGATAATGACTTCCATGTTATTTCCATCTCCCTTTTAGGATACTGGAAGAGGAAAAGGACAAAGAGCAGCGAGATCATGTTTGCTCTGATGATGATGACGATGAAGAAAAGGGAGGCAAGCGCGTCATCGGACCTCGAAAGAAATTTCAGTGGAATGATGAAATCAGGTTTGCACAGTTAAAGTTTAAGTGAACTGTGACTAGCCTTACTCTATGTGGCTGGATGCAAAGCATTCAGATACTTGTGTCTTGTTTTTAGAGCAGGACTGATCATTTTTTCCTAACAGGCAACTTGAAGGTTTGTGGCAGACTGCACTGTTTGTGGAAAGCGCTACTGCACTTATTAAATCTGAATCTTAAATACATTTCAAAATTAACCTGATTTCAGGCACAGGCCGTCTCTGAGATATGGGATAGAAGCCTCAGTGTGCAGAGACCAAAAGAGTAACATTTTTTAGGGAAAAGAAGGAACTCATCTGAGATCCTACAGACTAGACTCTTTAACAGGACCAGATTTCAGGTTGTGAAACAGTTAAAGGTAATGGGAATTTTTGCTCCTGGCAACCAGGCATATGACAAAGAATGGAAGGCTGGGTTAGGGAGAATGAGAAAGGATGAAATGAGAGTAAATCGTGCTGTGATTTTCATCTTTCTGTAACAAAGTGGGGTGTTGCTACATGGATGGCTCATTCATTTAGAATAAAGAAAGCTTTACTTTTTGCAGGATCTCATTGCTTCTCAGCACAAATTGTTGTGTAGAGGTTCAGTTTTGTGACTGCTAACAAGGCTTGTAATTTGGTGCTGGTTTACCACCTCTGCTCTTTCAGGATATTGGTTCAGGAAGGGGTAATAAAGCTCTTTCCCCTCGTGCATCTGCGTATGCCTATGCATATTCACACATGCACAGGAATGTGCATTTTGCCTCTTCTTTCTTATGAATACAGTTTAGGGTTGGTTTTCAGAAAGGTGTTTGGAGTGTCTGAACTTGGAATCCTGAGCTTGGCTGGTTATGGTCCGATCCAGAATGAGCCAGGCATGTCTTAGCCCTGGATAAACAGAATGACCTTCATCTGCGGAAAGCTGATCTGAGTAACTATATTTGAAATCTTCCTGTTCTTCAGGGAGCTGCTTTGCCACTTGGTGAAGATTAAATTGGATGGCTATGAGCTTGAAAAGAATAAGGCTCAGTCTCTGGAGGATTATATGAAGACCTTCCTAGATGCAGAGGTGAAACGCCTCTGGCCAAAAGGCTGGATGCAGGCCAGGTGAGCAAGAACCGTGTTGTATTCCAGGGATTTCTTATCGTAAGGGACCTCAGAAGGTCATTAGTCCACCCCCGTCTCCAAAGTATGGCTGGCTTTAAAGTTAGATGAGGTTGCTCAGGGCCTTGTCCAGTTGAGTTTTGAAAATCTCTCGGGGACAGAGCATCTCTGGGCCTGCGTTCCAGTGCTTAGTCACTCTTCATAAGATCCTTTCCTTGCTGCAACTTGGGACTGTTCCCTCTTGCTTATTACTGTGCACCTCTGAGAAGAGTTTGATTCTGTCTTCTTCATGACACCCACACACTCTCTTCAGACAGTGAAACATGGCCTTTAGGTCCCTCCTTGGTCTTCTCATTTTCCAGGCTAAGCAACCCCAGTTTCCAATGGGAACTGCCTCTCCACACACATCATGTGTCCCTGCTCCCTAGCCATCTTGGTGGAGCTGCAGTTTGTCAACATCTCTCTTCCGTTGTAGGGGCCTGGATACTGCACCCTGTTTCCATATGTAACCTTGGAAGTGCTGAGCGGAGTGGGACAAGCAATTGACCTGCTGACTACACTCTTGCTAATGTCTCCTCATAAGAGGAGACCTGCTAAGACTCCATGCTAGGTTTTCAGCTGTTCACCTTGTAGGGTGACTCATGTTCAGCTTGTCCACCAGGAACCCCAAGTCCTCTCCTTCAAGTCTGCTCCCTAGCCAGTTAGTTTCAGCAGCTGCAGGACTTGACATTTGCCTTTGCTGAATTTCGTGAGGGTTTGGTTACACGTTTCACTAGTTTGGGAAGGTCCCTGTGAATGGCAGCCCTGCCATCCAGCATATATTCCTGTGTTCAGGTCACCCACAAACTTGCAGAGTGCAATCTATGCAGTCATCCAGATTGTTAAGGAAGATGTTAAGTAGTCTTGGCCTCAGTATTGACCTTTATAGCTGCCACTGAAAACGAGTTACAGATTAGACCTGGATTGTGATGAGGCTGACTGGCCTGTGATTTCTGGAAACCTCATTACAAAGGATCTTTTCAGACTAGGAAGTCTTCCCTAGTATTCCTGAACTAGTATAGTATTCCTGAAAGAAAGCAAAATGGAAAGATTTGGGGATCTAGGGACTTAAAGCCTGTCAGCGAGTCAACAGAAAAAGTAGGAATTGAGCCTTGTTTTTCTTTATGCCATCCTGTGTCTTCACTACTCTTTCATGTCCTCCATCCTCCATGCCTTTGAGCTGGCAATTGGAGAGAGCCATGCAAATTGCAGAGTCCTTCTCACAGGACTGTCATCAGCTTCTGGCCTGCCTTGTTTTACTCAGGATTTTTTTTTTTTTAAGGGCACCTTTTTATCTTTTTTAATCTCTTTATCTCATCTCTTTGCATTTAAAGAGCTGGATAACACTGTTGTCTTCTCACTGCTGAATTTGGTGCTTGGGATTCACGGAGGATAAAGGAAGAAGTAGCTTCCAGTTTGTAAAGGCAAAAAGTGTGAGCAGGAAAATAGAGATCCACTTGGAAAATGACCATTTATTGCAGTTTCATGGGCACATAAAATGCAATAATGTGCATGGTTGTAGTGAGCTGCTCAGTATGAGAGCTGAATGCTGGAATTAGGAAATCAGTGCAGATTCCTTCTAAGTTAATGATTGTACTCTCATCTCAGGGTTTGCAGCTTGTCAGTTTTTAAAAATTATTTTTTTGAATAACAGAAAAGTTATTCAAAAAAGGAAAATCATCTTTCCTTCTTTGTAGGTGAAACTGTTCTTAAGCATATGATGTTCCCCTAAGCATCTTACTGCAAGTAGCAAAACCTTACAGCAAAGCTGACTAGGGAATGACTGAAGCAAATGTTCCGGGTTGCTTTCTGGTGGCCAAAGGACAATAGTTTCTCCTCTTAGGACTTTGTGGTTTAAAGACAGAGGCAGGCTGACAGCCACACAGAAGGGAAGGAGAGGGATTGGCAACTCTAGGGAAACTGGAAACAACTTTTTGCGCAAGTCAGCTTGAGTCACTGTCGGTAAAAGCACAGACCTCATCTTCAAGAGGAGCTTGGAGGTTGACAGACTGGCAGTTTCGGGGATGTGTTTCGAGAGGCCTTGCCATGCTTGTTTTCTTGGTTAGCACTAAAAGACAATTAACAGAATATATGGTGGCAATAAGCTGGTTTATTAGAAGGAAAAGGATGGCAAAATTCTTTGTCTGAAAAATTCAGTATGGTAGTAACAGAAGGAAAGCATATTCAATATGCCAGTACCAAGAGTGTCTCTATGAGGTTTTTTCTCCCTGACATCTAAGAAAGCAGCTAAGGGGTGGCAGCCCTTCTAGTTGAAATAGTGTTTGTGTGAGTGCTGGTTTATATAGGCTCAGCAGTGCAGGGTTTGGGGTGCAGCTCTATTGAGTGTGGTTAGACAATTGTTCCAGAAATGGTTGTGCTGACTTAAGTCGCCTCAGATGTTTGCGGAGGACACAGAGGCAACAGGGACATGCCAAGTCTGAAGGCTCCTCATCCACATTACTCTCTTGCTGTATTTGCAGCAGGGTAAGGTAACTTCTCTCCCTTGAAGCTGGTGAAGAGCTCTTGGATGATCTGCCAGCCTTGCTGTGGCAGCAGCAACATCCAGCTTGAGTCACTGTACCGCTCTCCAGTTGGCTCTCAGCTTTTTAAGCTGGCAAAGCTTTTTCCTTAGTTATTGTCCAACAACTGCCTTAATGGCCTCTCCAGTGCCTCCAAACATAGCTCCCCAGAGAGGGATTTGAATGGGAGAGTTCAAGAGCATTTTTTTCCTGGAAAAGGGATGAATATTTGTTTCCTCTCTCTGTGGTTTTAATTTCGCTGAGTCCCCTGCTGTATTGTGCAGCTCTTTCTCCAGTGATCCCAGCTGCTCTACTAGGTCTTGCTGGATATCACTTCTCATTGCTCTCTTCCCTTCTTAGGACACTGTTTAAGGAGAGCAGGCGTGTACACGGACACCTCACATCAGTCCTGTGAGTATCGCGCAGCCTTCCTGTGCAGCAATAACTGGTGAACTGCCTTCCCTGGGGTTTGGGTGGATTGTGCAGGAGCACCTGAGCTTGCTTGGCTCCCCTCAGGTAGTTTGGCGCTGCTTTCTCTGGGGAGGTCTAGGGAGAGTAGTTTTTTTTGTGTGTATGACCTTTCCCAGCAAAAGTCTTGCTTAGGTGACTTGCAGTAGGCTCAGGGATAAGAATAAAGTAAGAAATCGGAAGCAAAGCTGCCTCTTGGCATCGTTCAACAAACTGGAGTCAGGCCTCTGTGCTAGTCCCTAAGAGGCAAATCAGAGGAAGATGGAGCGTGGTGCCAGCACTGTGATTATTGCTACCTATTCAATCAGTCCTTCCTGAGTCCTAAATTCCTTCTTTTTTGTTGCCTGCTTATAGGAGGGGTATGATGAGCTCAAGTTATTGAAGGTGGGTTAAACAGGCTGTGGGTGGAGCCATCAGAATCCAGCTGGGCAGATGCTTTCATGCCCAAGAGTCTTGTAGATCTTGCTGGCAGTCTGTAGCAGAAAGTCATATAGACCTAGGCTGAGGTCTGTTTGAAAGAGAGTCCTGTTCTTGGCATGGTTGGATGAGGGGAAGCTCGAGAGCGTATGAAATACAGAGTATAGAGCCATCCTTCCCTCAATGATGGAATTTTAGTGGCTCTGGGATGTCTTGAACCAGACATTGCATCTGACCAGACATAGTGATATATTTTCTGTGAATTTGGCAGATGCTTTTGTATCCTCGGCTTCTTCTGTGAACCTAAAAGAAATGTACAGCTTTTCTGCAATACAGTCTCTGTGTCAGCTTCATCTGGGTATTGCTATAGTTAGGTCAGCAGCGGGTTCCTGTGATAGAGCCTAGTCCTGCAGCTGGTGTGGAATGTGTCTGTTGAGTGATTTCACTGCTCTGCTACCATTTCAAAGGCTGCTCCGCTCCCTAATTCATTCCCCTGTGTGGGATTTGGGGCTTTCTAGAGCAGCAACAAATGTCATTTGGTTTTGAATCCTAGCAACCTGAGATGCTGCCTATGTTCCCTTGGTTCTTTGCAAAAGGCTTGGTGGATCATCATTAACAAGGCCCAAGTGTGCTCTTTAATTAGGTGCTTCCATGAGGACATTCAATGAGCCCATGTTTCTTTTGTCTCCTTTCAAACAGGACAAAGAAGAAAACAGTTATGCCCCCCACTAAGATGAAAGTGAAGGTGAGTTCTTTTGTTTTTTGGTTCTTGTGGTGGACGTATCCCAAGATCAAGAGACTACCTTCTTAGAGACTGTTTACAGTCTCTGTGGAGACTATCTTAGCCTCCTTGAGCCCTCTATAGATGAGCTACAAGGAGGCTGTTCTCTGCAATGGCCCTGATAATATGTACAGGGCTTGGGAGCTACCAGAATAGCAGCTAAAATCAATGGGATGGAGGGATCATTGGGTGCAAATCATGCCTACTCTGCCTCTTCTTCCTGCATTAGGAAGCTTTCTTTGCCTTTCATCAAGAAACCCTGCCTCTGTTCTGACCCTGCCTTTTGTTGTGGTTTTGTTCCAGGAATCTTCCTGTAAACCAGATAAGAAGCTGCCAGTTCCTGTGAGGCACTCGAGCAGCGCCCTGGCACTGTCCTCAGAGCCCCAGGGAGGAGCTCTCAGCATCAGCACCCAGACCAGAGAACTCTTGTCCCTTGGGACAGCCCAAGCAGCCAGCAGCGCTAGCACCCCTGCTACCTTCATGGATGACTCTTTGGATGAGGACTTAATTCATAATCCCACTTCTTCAATTGAAGCAGTCTCTAAAGAACTGGCTGTGCTGAACAGCAGAGCAGGAGGAAGCCCTGACTTTACTCTTCCTGGACCCGCAAAAGCTCCATCAGAGAAGATCCCAACTCTTGCAGCTGCAGAGGAGAAGAGGACATTTCCAAAGTCCAATGCTTCCCCTATACCACCTCCTGCTGGTTCCCTCCAGTCTCCTCTAAATTTCCTGGCTGAGCAGGCCCTGGCATTGGGTCAGTCATCTCAAGACAAGAAGACAGAGAGCTCCAATGTCAAAGAGCTCTCCTGCCAAGTTTCCCCCAGCAAAATCCTTCCTGATGCACACCAGTCTAAACAGAAACACCACAACCTGCTCCGACCCAGCCACGGGCCTCAGACCTCCAATCCAGTGCCAGGTGCTCCGGTGAAGGTCTTTCACTCAAGCAACCAACCACAGAAAACGTTCACATCCCCAGCTCCATTTGTCAAACTGCAAAACCCCAAGTCCTCTTCCCCGCTGCCCCAACGCTCCCTGCTCCAGCAGGTCAAGTCATCAACCAAAGCTCAGAGCTTCCATTCCTCTGCTTCTCCAAGCAGTACCCCAACCTCCAGCAGTTCCCACAAGAGCTCAGGCTCCTCCTCGTCGTCTCTCAACTATACGGGAAAGCACTCAAGTGGCTCTAGTTCTTCAGGACAATCTTACAAAGCCCCCTTTGTTTCTGGCTCCCTTTCCAAGCATGGGGCCTCTTCCAGCAGCTCCTCATCTGGAGCCTCTGCAAACCAGGGCTGCTCCTCTGGTAGCCTGCTGCCTGGTGTGCAGACCCCTTCCTTGGGTCAGGCGTCCAGCCGCTCGTCCCCAAGCTCCTCTGTGAAGAAAACACCCGTTTCCCAGAAGCTGACTCTGGTAGCCCCTCCTGGTGGCTCAAATGGAGATTCCAGCGGGGGGACTCAGGGGGTGGCCAAGTTACTGACCTCCTCCCTAAAGCCAGCTGTTGTTAGCAGCGCTGCATCTTCTACCTCTGTGCCGGTAAGCAGGAATGTGCTTTCCTAGCCTAATGCTGGGAGGCTCATGGCACTGTTTCAGGCAGTCTCCTAACTCGTTAAGACAAGCCTTAAAGTCATAACTTCAGAAGAAGTTCCTGAAATTCTTGAATGACTGAAAGAATGAATGTCTGAATCCCGCTTGCGTAGGCTGTGAAGATGTAGTTGCCACGGGCTTGCACTCCAGAATTCAAGCTTTCATTTTCAGTTTAGCGTAACAAATATGCAAGAAATTGCAATTTCTAGGTGGTTTATGTAGTTGTTTTGACCTGACTTTGGGAGTTGTAGGATGTTAGTGCTCCCCTTTGGGTCTAGAGGAAAGGCCCTAAGGCAAATTGCCATGAAAATTAAAATCATTGTGTAAACTGAAATTACACTTACCCATTTATTTTTAATCAGATCTACAAACTGAGCCTTATTTAGATTTTCCCAAATGATCTTAGTATTATTGACATTTTTTGTTCCTGGTCTACAGAATAAATAACCCTTGATTTTGTGCTGTAAACTCAAGGTGCCTGCCCCGTTTTCTTGGGTGGTTGTTCTGTCACCTTCTGTTGCTCCTCAGTCTGAAACGTTGCCTGGACAATTAAATGCATCTATTTAAATGAGCCTGAAAACTATATGTTGCTCATCCTCTGGACCCTGTATGTTACTGAGTTAGCTAAAAAGCATTCAGCAAGGGAGTAAATCTCCAAGCAAATAACGTTCTTGCCTAGAGGAGTGCGTCAAGCCTTGCTGCCTCGAGCTGTCAGCAGTGATAAGCTCCTGGGCATCTCCTGGTGGCCAGCAGCTCGTGGCTGCCTATCTGGGAGGGTGCTTCTTGCATGGCGTGGGTCTCAAGCTCTGAATGTTTTGCAGTTTCATGTTAAATCTGAACAATCCCAGGGCTTTCCCACCCCTGACTGACCTTTTCTGTTGCCTTTCAGAAAGGAACTAGTGGAGCTGTGCTGCTAACCAGTTCTTCCTCCTTAAGTGTACTGTCTCCATCCTACAAGTCCAGCAATCCCAAGCTGCCAGCTGCTCTGAGCTCCACCCCTTTAGGTATTATCTCTCCTATTCATTCCTTCCCTCTTCATGTCATCTCCTTCAGTTCAGACTCCTCCCCGAAAGCAGGAGTATCAAAGGATGCAATAGTTACGGGACCAGCCCCAGGAACTTTCCACCATGGCCTTGGCCACAGTGAGTGCCCTCCCAGTCGTGCATGTGCATGTTACGTGTGCCTGTGCTGTCAAATAACACACCACCACTGCTCTGCCATGTTAACCTGTTGCAGCCAAACTCATCTCTCTTGCTGTTGCTTCATGCTATAGTTCATGCACTCATACCTAGCAGTTGCATTTGAAGAACCTTGGGCACATCCTTATAGCTCTCCTAGAAGCCCCAGTAGCTGGAAGCTAAGCTCTAACCGCTGCAGCTCTCTGCTCGTTTCTGTCTTCAATGTGTATTTGTTCTTTTTTTTCCTCTCCTTTCTTTGTTTTTCTCTCTAGGTCTTCTAGCTGGCTTGCACTCCAGCCCCCACCATGCAGCACCACTCCCACATTCTGCCCTGTCCACTCATTTACCGCAGAGTTTGCCAGGTAACTTGTCAGCCAGTCTTGTTTGTCCTCTGCCCTGTGAGTCACCCCTTTCCTTGGCAGCTGCTTATTCTAGGGGTGAAGCAAAGTCATTTTGCACTCTGGTTGCTTGGTCTGGTCCTCGCTAGAAACTCCAGCTTCCTCAGGACACAAGGCTGGTCTTAGCCCTAAGTAAAGGCTTAGTGCTTTACTATTTCACTGGTCAGTGCAAACTTGCTTTGCTGTAGAATGATGAACCGTCAGTGTTTATAGCAAGTGTTGGTTTCTGGATTTACTCAGCTTTGCTCTTTCTGTCATAGCAAAGAATTATTCTCCTAGGATTGGTGTTTGTGTACAGACTGTTAGGATTTGATGGTCTTGCTTTTGGAGTTTTGTCACTGGTGACCTACATAAAATGCCTCGGACCAGACCGTCTCGCATCTGTGCACTGGGCTAATTGCCTGCATTTCCCCCACAACAGGTTTGTAGCGTGAGAGGAAACTGCTTTACTGGATGCTGCCAATGTGATGAGTTTGCAGCTAAGCCTGTTCCTGCCTCGGTGTGATTCCTTCGGACCTAATGCACGGGAGATTTATGATGAACATCCTCTGTGCTTAGAAATGGAGCCCTGCGTGGTGGGCGTGTGGAAACAGGGCAGCACTGCAGAGGAAGGAAAGAAGTGAGGGGTCCAAAGTGCCAGGGTACAGAGTTCCCTTATCCCAGGGAAATATCTCTGCAGATATTTCTGCTTTCTTCACCAAGTATCCCTTGTCTCTCCAGTGCAGCTCAGTGCTACTCTCCTAGCACCTGCTTCTACAGTGATTCTCTTACTGAGCAACACGTGGCTGATCTGGGAGTGGATGTGCTGGCTTAATTTTGCGGCACCGAGGCCGTAGATGTGTGGATAAGCTGCTGGGGATAGTCTGGCCTCCCAGAGCAGGCATGGGGTAAAATGTTCTTGGCTGTTGAGGAAAGTGCTTGTTTGCTGAAGGAAGAAGAGTGCAGTGTACTGGTAAAAATTCAAATAATTGGGCGTCTTTGCTGCTTTTGCTGATGGCCTGAGGGGTGGTGTTGTATCTCTCCAGTGTGATGGAGCAGAAGCAGCAGCTACTGGCAGCAGTCACGGGAGTGAAAGGCCCTGCCTTGATCTGCAGGAAAGAGTAGAGGGCCTTGTGCTTTAAGATGGATTTGTAAATTTACAATTACTGGAGAGTGAAATGTTTGATTTTGAGTTGAAAAGAGGTTGTGAAATGTGTTCTGTGACACTGAGAAGGAGCCTCCTCTCTGTCATTGTTTGAGGGAGTTGAGTGCAGTGACTTCAGTACAGCTTATAGAAGATTTTTTCTTGGTAGACTGCTGCTTTTAGACAGAGAGGATGTAGTGCCTGAAGCTGAGGGTAGACAAAATGCAACTAGAAATAAATGGCCACTGAAAGCAGCTTCTACAGAGACGCATGAGATTCTGTCTTGGTCTTTTTTGCATAAAGATTGGAATTGGGCTCAGTCCTTCCAGAGGACTTTATCAATTGTGCAGTGCCAAAGCAGATACTTAAGTGATTGCTGTGGTCTTAAAACAACTTAATTTGGTATTGTGGGATAAACTATGGCTGGCTGAATAACTAGATGGTCAGAGCTGCTTTGCTGTGCCTGAAACCTGAGTAGATTCCCGTGCGTTTGTCGGTCTTGGCTGCAGGGAAACGTTGATATCTTGAGCAAAGGTGCCTGTACCAGCATCCACCAAAGGGCGTTGGAGCAAAGAGCGCTCAGTGTTTGCTCGGGTGTCGTCGCTGCTGCGTTTGCTGCTGGAGGTGCATGTGTGCTGGTGCCCTGGCCGTGGCTCCACTTGTGTTGCAGAACGTCTGGGCTGGGGCTGAGCTCTTGCATGGCCTAAACTGCCCTAATTCTGGAGAAGAAGCTGTTGCTGCTTTGCTTAGTGCTTTGTTCATGGTGGCCCGATGCTGGTTTTGGCTTCTCCTGATAACTTCTGCTTCTTTAAGCTTACTTTTTCTCTTTATTGCATTTTCTCCTTTCCTTTCACATCAGTTCCTTTCCTTTACTTCAGCAGTTAGGCTCCTGTGAATCCTGTTGGTATCAGTGGGCCCTCAAAACCTTCACTGCAATGCAGAAATCCACTAACGGTTTTATCAGAACCCATTGTTAGACGCTAGGCAGCAAATACCATGTATTTCTAATTCCCTAGATCTGGAGACATGGTAGCATAAATTGCTAGCTAAGTAGCCTCCCAGCAGTCTTAATCTGTGCTCTGGTGCTCTTGCTGAGAGACCTCAGGAGGCCCTTAGTGCTACCCCTGGCTCTTACCCAGGTGCAGAGGAAAGGCTGTTCCTAATCGTTAGATATCTAGATCTCAAATGCTTCCTCCTACCCTTGCTTCCTTGGTGGCCGAGCAGGTTTTTCTGTGCAGTTTGCCTGCCCCAGCTGCACGCAGCTCCGCAGAGCTGGTGCTGAGCCCCCTCCCCACTCGCCTTTGGTCTCTTTCAGATGCTCCTCAGCTTCACGGCAAAGGGTCCAACGCCCAGCAGCGCAAGTTGTGACACCGGCGAGGAGGGGAGCTAGAGCACACAGAGGATAAAACCAAGAGGATGGCACACGAAGACTGCATACCGGCTGTGTCTTTTTCTCACAAAAACTGGAGAGACTGAACTGAAAAAAAAAAAGAACTCATTGGTGCATTTGCTCAGAGGCTTTCAGAGCAAAGGCCTTACACCAAGGGTCATCTTGAGCCATGCCCTAATGAGAGGAACGTTTGTAGCACTGTTTTATTGCTGCTGCCCTTCACGCATTCCCTGGCACTGGCGCGCGCTAGAAGCTGCACGGAGGCTTGGGTGGCTTGGCCCAAGTCCAGCGCTGGGGGTGGATTCCCACCTACCTGGGTCTGCATCTGCCAAGTACCTCCAGGTCCAGTAACCTCCGTGGTCACCCGGCGGAGGCTGTGAAAGGTGCTTCTCTCTGCTCTGAGTTTACCTGGATAATTCTAGCACTGCCAGTGCTTTCTGAAGACGTTTGACTAACTTTTCAACCGTACTATAAAACTGTGCTACACTTAATTGGAGGACTTAACTTTTCCTGTGTGGCTAATCTAACAAGCCACCTGATGTTCCCCTCTGGAGGAGAAGGAAGACTCTTTAGAGAGACATTTCTAGATGCACTCATGAACATCAAGAATTCAACTTCTTTTGTTCTTTGGAGATTTTTCTTCCCCCCCCCCCCCCCCCCCAAGGGATGCTAATTTTTATCCTCATTACCATTGAATGCATTGGATCGAATGGGACACTTCTCAGCATGTCACATGTATAGGAAGACATAATTCCAGTGCCTTTTATGGTGGAGCAAGAATGGACTAATGACACACATTTCAGCCCTATTTTGTGTGCTCCTCAACCCTTTTTTAATCATTCTGTATTTAAGATGTATTCTGTTTTATTTAATAGAGCTTTTTATGGTTGCACATCAAAAAAAGCTGCACTGTCTGGACTTCAATGGTGTGTTGGTGACTGCAGATACAGTACCAAATCCAGCAAGAGCACCACTTCTTATCAGAGCTTGTGCAGGCAGGTTCCAGACCTTCCCCTAAAGCCATTCTTTCCTAGGGTCTTCAGTCATGAGCTCTTTGTGGGCAGAGGGAATGATCTAGGTTAAGCAAGGTCACTACTACCCGAATGGATTCCAGAGAATATTGCTCTCCTGGATGATTTCTGCACTAGAATCACGTACTTGTCACCGCTGCAGGAATAGGGACCATCTGTAACTGGGATATCATTTTGGAATTTTTTAACTCTTAGATCTAAATACTGATCCCTGAGCTAAGGGCAGGCTGTGGTTCCAGCTGAGCTTAGGGGGGTCGATTTTTTTCCCTTCTCCTGGTCTCTCTTCTCCCAAACCCCCATAGCCACAGTGAATCATGCAGCAGAGCACTGCTCCACATAGACTTCCTTGGTATGCCCAGCAGACCCTTGCAGCCCTCCTTGCTGAGCTTTGAGGAAGGCTGCTGCCACAGGACATACCAGCAGATGTTTGCTTTAGTTTTCCCCATTTTTGGTAAGTTCCAGCATAGCCTGTTTTTGATTTGAGCTGACAAATGATTCCCCCAAGATCACTACATTGTTTGTATTTTTTTTTTCCAACAAACACAGCTCAGAATTAAGAATTTGTTTACAAAAATACCTAGGTTGTAGCAAAAGAGCCAAAGACAGAACTCGTGTTAGTAAAACTAAGCACAGCGGCTACGGACGGACTCCGAGCGGTCGATGTCGCCTGGTTCCCCTTGAAGGCCCAATCCTGAGAGGTCCAGGGCACCTTCAACTTTCCATGGTAGCTGAAGGGATGTGAAACACCTGGCAGGATGGGGACTCTCAGCAAGCGACCTGAGGTACCGGTTCTACTCCCTCTCTTTGCTTTTCACTTGGATGCCTCTGCTGGGAAGCACAGGCGTGCATGGCCAGAGCAGAACACCCTCGTTCTAGGAATTTAGCGAAGCCTCTTGCCTCAGGGAAATGTTTATGCGGTGGAAATTCTGTGGGATATATTTTTCTTTTTCTCTTTACATGCTCTAATGAGTGAGTGGGTGGCACGGAGCAGCGCTGCAGCAAGGCAGAGCCACGCAGAGCCCCGGGAGCTGATGGGGAGCCAGGAGCCCGGCGCCTGCCTCGACAAGGCACCTTGCGACACTTGGCTGACAGCGTGGGGACACAGGGTCCCCGGGCATGCACTTAGTATGGCAGTTCCTTTGGGGTGTGAGAGCTACAGTTACTACTATTATTTTTGTGTGTGCGTGTGTGTGTGTGTGCGCGTTGGGACTGTCTTGCTGAAGATGGTGGGGGTGGTATGAAAATTGTTAATCTTGTACAGAACAACTGAATAAATTGTTTCAAAGTTTCCAAAATGTTTTTTTTTTTCCCCATCTCCTTTGTGATTTTGTTTCCAGTGGCTTTAGCTTGGGTGATCATGTCTTGATTATCCATTTCTTCAGTGATTAGTGAATTAATTTCTTCAGTGATTAATGAATTAGCATAGTAACTAAAGTCTGCTAAATGGTAAGTGAATTATTAGCTCTGTTTCTAGACTTTGTGCTTGTAAAATTGCATGTTCTTACTCAATGGAAGTGCTCCTGTGGACTTCTGAAGTTTCACCAGCTGAAAAAAGCAGCTGAGGTTCAGAACCGGGAGCAATGAAGGTGATTTCTGTGCATTCCTATAATTCACAACGATAAAAATTATGTTCTTGATGTCTAGAACTGAGGTGGATACGCAGTGAGTGCTTATTGGTGCTCCTGTTGACAGCAGAGTTTATAGGAATTGGGGCGTTTGTAGAGGTGCATTAGAAGTGAGTGGATGCATAGGGGACACAGGCTGTAACGGGAGCGCAGGCGAATGGGAGCCCTGTTAACAGGCAGCCCTGATCTGCCTGCCCTTTCGTTGGTAAGTGGGTTAAATCATGTGAAAAGCCCCCAGGGTGTAAGTCTTGGTGGTGGGATGCTCTTTGGTAAAGTAGAAACTTGGGGAAAAAAAAAAAAGAGAAATGAGTCTGCTCTAGACTTGGAAGCCCCTGGGAACGTTCCAGCAAATTTCCCTCTTTTCCTGGAGCTTTAGTTCCGTTTGTTTGTGCTTTTCAGTGCCATCTCTTGCAGCTAATTAGTCCCAGCTAGTACTGGTCCAGCAATTTTCCTCTTGGAAAACAGAGCCAATGTCTGAAAATGCACAGTCCTGCTTTTTTAACTTGGATTCTGAAGTTTCTTCTTCCTTTAAACCCAAAGATCAAAGTCACAATTAAAAAAAACAGACCCCTGATTGGAACCACTGCACTTTTATTTTGTACTATAAATAGAATTTCCCTCTATTTCCCATTCCCTTACACAAGTAAATGAGACGTGTAGCTGCATGTAACTCTATTCAGTAAAATACCAGCACAAATGGCTTTTCACCATGAGGTAAGCTAACTGTTTCGAAGGCACTCTGCATTTGGTTACAGCTGCATGCTTTACGCTAGCATCTCGTGTCTGACAATATTGCCATCTCTTTCCATGCTTTCTGGGGAACCCTACGACACGTGGATGCTTCTCCTCAAAGTGGGGCTGACACCATCAGGTTACCGAGCTTTGCTTCGCTCTTCCCCAGCAGCATAGGCACACAGGTGAACAAAACGACGGTGCTGAGATATTAACGTGGTGATACCGGTTTATGATGTTTCTTACACCTTTTGGTCTACAGAGCTGGCTTTCTCAGAGGAAGATCCCATCATTTAGTCATCTGTCCACAATGAAACTGTCTGGCTTAACAACTTGCACTTGACGTGACCAGCTTCTGCTGGCCATTTTGGAGTCCTCTTGACCTTCAATTTCTCTGCCTGCTGTATACAGGTTTTTATGCGAGTATATGGTGAAGAAGCTGCAGGTTCTGCTGAATCTTCAGACTTAGATACTTCACAAGTTTAAGGCTTTTTGTCTTTTTTTTTTTTTTTTTTGTTTTTTGGGGGAGTGTGGAGGAGGTTAGGTTGAGTGATTAAGACTGAAGAAGGACATAAAGTTTTAATGCAGTCTCGATGAATATTCTCCACTATTGATGGTGCTTTTCTGCAACGTATCACAACAAGCAGTGTGGCTTCATGGCATGCTGGTGGTGGCTGGGGCAGTGGCTCTAGCAGTTGGGAAGATGCAAAGGAGGGCAAGATTTGCAGTGATCTGGTAGTCTAATGAGTGCTGCAGCTCTGACTCGCTGCTTTTGAGGAGTTTCTAAAGTGGAGGGAGCGCTGTGTAATTGCTTCCGGACACCAAGACTGCCAGCTCCTGGATTGACATCTCCTTGTTGAGGTAGCTGTCATACTGAGCCATGGTTAGCCTGCCGCTCTTCAAGGCATCCTCAATTGAGAACTCTCTACCGGACTTCCTGTCAAGTATCACAGATGATTCCCCATTGGGACCCTTTATTGAGATCTCTTCCCAGTCACATTCCTGACTCTTCAGCTTGACAAACAGGCTCCATTCAATGAGGCCGAGCCTGTGAGCTTCCTCTGGAGACATCTCCTTGCCTGTGTCGGGGTCAATGACCACAATAGAGCGCCTCAGGTGATTTTCTCTTTGCTCCCTCTTGATAGCCACAGTCTTGAGACGATTCTGGAGTTGCTCAATCTCCGCATCCTTTTCTCTGGATAACTGCTTCAGATCCTCTAACTCCCTTTCCAAAGCTTGGAATCTGGAGTCCAGGTTGATTCCACTCTCCACATGGGCCATGTTTCTCAGATCCCGCGCTTCTGTTGTTGTGAGTTCAATCTCTGACTGCAGTCTCCTTGTTTCCATCAACAGGTTCTGCTTTTCAAGGTGTAGTTTGTGGTTTTCTTCTCTTAACAAGTCTAACTCCTTTGATGACTTGGAGTTATTGAATTCCACCTCGGATAATCTTGTTTCAAGACGGTTGATGTCTGCGTCCAGCTCCCTCTTTCGTCTACTCTCCTCCTCCAGACTGCTCTTCAGCTTTTGAATCTCATACTCTGTGTCTCCTTTGTCCACTTGGACACTCTCTGAAAAGACCACTTTCTCTTTGACTTCCATCTTCTCCAGAGAAAGAAGCTTCTTTCTCAGGGCTTCCAGTTCAGTTTGCAAGACTTGTCTCCGGTGCTTCTCTTCCTCTAGCTCCAGCTTGAGGAGCGAGTGCTCCTTCTCTTGCTGGGGATCTTGCTGCAGAATCACTTTCTGTTTCACAGTCACTCGTTCCGTTGTTTCCCTCTCCTGTTCTTCTAACTCGTTCAACCTAATCCTAAGCCTCTGCACCTCCAGTTCAGCCTCTCTGCGTGCCTGTCTTTCCTTCTCGAGTTCTTCCAGCTGACGTTCTAACTCGGATCGTCTCCTCTGCAGCTTGCGGAGCTCTTCACGGAGGCAGTCAATTTGCTTCAGCTCGCTCTCAATGCTCTGGGAGAAGGAGTTGACTTCAGCTTTCAAGGCAGGGTCTTGCTCGTACTTCACTACTTCCTGTTGCACCACCTTCTCCTTCACCTGGGAAAGTTCTTCTTCCTTCTGTCTAATTTTTTCCTCCTGGAGTAGCCGCTCCCTCTCYAGGTCAATGTGTTTCATCTGTTCCTCTGCTAGCTGAATTCTCAGAGCCTCTACCTCCTCTCTGGTCTTAGGRTCTTCCCGAAACTGCAGAATTTCTTGAACAACCTCCTTCATATGCACTTGAGGCTTGGTGTCTTTCAAGGCTTGTATCTCTT